CTTCTAAACTTATGTTGCTTCTAATAATATAAGTTACCTTTGATATAATTTTCTGTATCTTCTAAACATTAAAATTTAGAATTATAAATTTTGATACTGATCACGGAAAATTTTCCATGCTGTTGTCTGGAAACCATGGAAAAATGAGGGACTGTCAAAATTCATTTTTTTGTGTGGCAAGCCTGAATTATTGCTGCAATATCGCGGTTATAATTAGCGTTTGTGCTGGGTGTGGTGCCTATTAATATTTCTTTCTTGCAAAAAAATCTTTACCGTTTCTTGGAGAGGAGCGTGTAGGACTCCTTGGTCGCGGCGCAGATTCTCATCCGCATTTTACGCACGGCCCTTTTTCGCACTCCGCCCTCGAGAACTGGCATCCAGACGACGACTCCCGCTGCTTCTTCACCACCAGCACCACCACTACCACTAGTATCCTGTCCTCCGCCACCACCTCCCGCTCGGCGACGGACGATCGCCGCGACGACACCTTGCCGATCACTTTGCGCCACGGGCGCGTTCTCCGCCCTTCGACGACGACGCGGCGGACCACGCATTCGATTCACGTCGCGATCGGCATGGTGCGATTAATCCTCCTCCCTCCCGTGGCTCCTCTCTCTCACCGAATACACGCACGAAGAGAGAGAGAGAGAGAGAGAGAGAGAGAGAGAGCGAGAGATAGGAACGCGCACAATAATTATTTTGTCCGCTCGGCCGATTTTTCCGCGATCGCGACTCGCGCGGGTGAATATAATTTACAATCGGCAAACTCCTCCCCGTTGCTGTCCTCCCTTATCTCGAGGTCGCCCTCCGCCGCTACGATGATTCTCGCGGTGATTCTCTCGTCTCTTCTTTTTCTTCCCCTTTCTTGCTTGGTTCGCCTCTCGTCTATTCGATAACCATTATCGAGATAAGAACGTTTTCTGTGCGCGCGCGCGCGCCCGCGGGTCCGAAAGTATTCGCTTGATGGATAGCCTCTCGCTGGATTTGTCTGCTTTTGGCGCACACGTAAGATCGATAAGCACGTGGGGATCGTTATCGTCAGAAAATAGCGATAGATCCCGCGCGAGACGCCGGGATCTGATTGCGCCGATAATTCGCTTCGGTTCAATGACTCGTGACTATTGGCTACTTGCTATTTGAATCTACAGCGAATTGCGCGAAGATATCGATTTTATTAATTAAAACTTTTTACGATTGGATCTGTGGACGTAAAAAAAATATTTTTTTTAAATTTAAAGTTAAAAATTAAAAAAATCTTAATTTTGTTAAATAAAAAAAACTACATCGATCTTATCGATATTAGATTATTCGGAGAAAGTTCCTATTTTAAGTGAATTTAAAAGTTTAAGTTTTCCGACTTTTTTCGCGCTTTATATATATAACAATATCGTTAGACTTCCATCCAATTTTTTACTTAAATGTATTTCCTTTGTTCTATTGATTCTTTCAAAGAAGTACAATTTTCTAATTCTTGGTAATCTGTGAGTTAGACGTAAGTTTGACAGTTTTGATAATAATTACGACGTGGTATAACAAAAAAAAATCCACACGTCAAATACAGAAAAGGATGTGACTAATAGCTCATTGAAGACGGGTTTGGAATTTTCATTCTCTGCGTTGCCCGAATAAAAGGATGCTTTTTTTAGTCAGGTAACAGAACGAATTCGGAAGTTTTCCTATCGGTCGTTTTAAGCGTTACAGCCCGTAGGATAAAAGCTGCGAGAACGAAATTTAAGGCAGTTGCACTCCTTGTGAACAATCTTGCAATTAAAATAATGAATCTTGTTCAGCGAAACGCGGACTTCGGTTATTCAACTCCGACACGAACAATACCGAATTCCGGATAGCTTTATAACAAAAGAAAAACCCAGTCAGATCGAGATCGTAAAGGGATGTAAATAAGCTGCGACTTCGACAACTTTCGAAGCGTACGAAAGCGCGGACTGAATTTACTTTGCGGCGTCCGAGAAGTTACACCACGAGCGCGACTCTATAACAGAGAGACGAATAATCCGCGTGCGAGAAGACAGCGGCGCTATTATCTGTCGCTCTTTGTATCGCCCCGGATTTTTTCCGGGAAGCGAGAAAGAGAGACTCGGTCGTACGTAGACCTTTGGCGCGCGCGCGCGCGCGCGCCCGCCCGAGTGAGTATATGGTCGTCTCGCGCAATCGATTCACGATCACGAACACTGGTAGTAAAACGCTGTATCGGTGATGATGACCGGGGTGGCCGCAGATTCAGACAATTTTGGATTTTAACGATTTTACTGTCCACGCGACGGTGGATCGCGTGGAGAAATTCAAGAGATTCAAATCGAGAGAAAGGGCGACGACTGACAAATCGGTGACTGACGTCCGCGGTGCCTATCGACACCACTGGTGCTCGTCAGTGTTTCGTCCGTTGTCTCTTTGTTCGCCCGAAGTGAAGCTCCGATACGCCCCGAGCCCGATACGGAATCCCGATTCGAGATCGACGCCTGCGAGCAGAGCACTTGCGATCGAAAACACAATTCCGTTGGAGTACGCTATGTGTTGTACTGACAAAAATCGCGCACAAAAATCACTGAATCGTATATAGGTACCTGATATCTGCAGAGAAAAATCGCTCGCACGTATCGAGCGGTCTTCCACCCACCACCGATATCACCCGATCACAGATCGAAAGACGTGCGTGACGTCCAGTTCCAAAGTCACTCTACTTACCGCGCGCGATCACGTTTCGACGTGTGCGTTCGGGAGAAGAGAAAAAAAGGCAGTTCGCGGCGTTCGCGCAGGTCAATCCGCGACACTTCCGGGGGGGGGGGAGGGGGCCACTCGCGGCGTGTTTAGTTTAGCCTCGCGTACCGGAAGACGTATCGCTGCAGCGCGAGAGAGACATCGAGCGCACGATACGCTGGGAGAGACGAGAGACCGATGTGACGATCGCGCGCGGTTGCGAGAGATCGGCAAGATGCGCGGGCACGAGTCACGACGACGCGAAAGCACGTGCGTACGATCGGCCCGACACGGAGCGAGTGTGAGAGCACGAGGAGGCATGCGTGACGCGCCGCGCGCGCGCGCGCGCGCGCGTACCCCTCCGTTTGCGTCGTAAGACCCCGGCGGTGACCGCCGGAGGGGGTAAAGCGAGAAACGGTGGGTTCCAGCGCCACATGAAGGGAACGAGAGAGAGGAGGTCGAGTGTGGCGGGCCCTTGAGGGAGGAGTAGGGGGGTGGGGGGGGGTAACGTGCCCCCCTCCGTGCTCTCCTCTCCTCTTCTTACCCTCGTCGTCCTCGTGCAACGAGTCTCGCCTACTTCCTTCCTTCTTCGTCTCTCGATTTACTGCGTAATCGAGTGTGTGCATGTGCGCGCGCGCGCGCCTTCTATCTTTTTTTCTCCTACACACAACGTTTCTCTGCCTTCGAACGGAGATATACACCTTTATAGCACACCTACGCCTCTTCTAGCGTTATTTATACTTTACGCGAGACTATATACGCGAATGTCTCGTAGACGCCGTAATACCCTCGTGGTACCCTGAGTGTCTCAGGATCGCGAGGTCGTATACGTACAATGGTGGATTTGCGTGAAAATCCGATTAAGTTGCAAATTTTTATTTTAATGAGATCTCGGGTTAGCTTGGCGACATGTAATGCCTTGTAGGTATTATACTTGCACTGAGAAAAAAAATTGATTGTACGAATTAAATTTGTATAGTTTGTTTGATCCAATGATTGATTCAACAATTCTTTAGTTGCACAAAGAAAAGTATAGTTCATTCATGTCAACCATCAAAAATTTTTAATCAAGAATTAACTAAACCAACTCCATTAAATTATTTTGTTCGAAATACTAGTAGTATTTATTTGCATTTGAATGCTATTTAGTTATCCAAGTAATATATTTGTTCAAATTCCAAATATTAAACTGACTAATCGATGCTAATGGGGATAATAAATAGTGTGTGTATTTTTAATCGAACAGTTAAATACGATAAATTTTTGTTGAAACAAAATAGTTTAGTTAAAAAGTAGCATTTTGTTTATAATAATAACAAATTATTTTGTGTCATTGTAGTAACGTTTAGTTGATCGTATCGGACTAAATATTTTGGTAAGACGAAACAAATTTTGCGTTTTTCAACAATTTTTTTTTCTCGGTGTGTCACATGTCATGATCCGTGATTTGCCATTTAAATAGTTAGCTTTTGGCGCAAAAGACTCGTGTATATATAATGAACTCCTTGATTCTTTTCATTTTGTATAAAAGTGAATAAAAGATTATTTCTAATTCACTGCTTAAATTTTTAAGAAATGCACAATTGGGAACGGTGAAGTATTTTTAATTATTGTAAACAATAATTTGCTTTAACTGTTTGTTACATCAGTACTATTAAATATTAAAGGAACAGATTTAAATCAATTCTTTCAATTAAATAACATTTTCTTTCTAAATTCTATATGTGTCAAAATATAATATTTTAATACAAAACATGTTTAAAAAAACAGCCACATCTAATCAACCCATTTCTACGATTGAATTGCTTGTCTTCAAATGAAACAACGTTCATATTAATGTATGCACTTAGTAAATATAAACTAAATTCGAGTGAAATTTAATATAACATATTATTATATTCTTAAGAATTAAATTGTTTTAACTCTACGTTTTAGTTAAATTAATGATATATTGAGTGACGATCTGAAGGAATGATTAAAAATGTGACTTAAATCGAGTATAATTTGATATTATAAATTCAATAGTAAGTAAATTTTTGATTTTGTAATTGTAATTTCGTAGAATACATATCGCAATCGAGCAATGTAATCGACGAACTGTGGCAAATGTCGAAACTTGAGCGACGTACTTCCGAAATGTCGAGTCATCTCACATATGCATCCGTTGTACGACTTTGATTTAACTTGCCAATGACTCCGCGTTACGTTTCTTTTCGAAATTTGAATACATTATCATTCACGATGAAATTTCATAGCCCCACAAGGTGCACCGCGAGTTCGCAGTCGAAGTTTAACATCGATAAGGGTGACATCGGGAGCTTTCGAAGCGCGAGTATTTCCAGAAACCGCGATGGCCAGTCAGACGTAAGGGTATCTCGATATTATACTATATCAGCTATCACACATTAACAATTTTAAATATCGAATTGTTAGTGACAGCATGGAATCTCTCTTATATATATAATAAATACATAATAAATATTAAATTTATAAACTATATATATTATAAAAAATAAAATAGATAACTAAGGCAGATGAGAGTCAGCGCAGTTATCAGTAAAGGGAGAGGGGGAGGGAAGGGGTAAATAGTGACAGATTTTTTTTCTCTCCTACAAGCTAATTTCAAGTTTACAGGATATAATTTTTCACTAAAAGAGTACTTCCCACTTTCAAATATACAAAAAACTTAATTAGAGTTTCCATAAGTCATGTATACAGGCTAGATTTTCATAAAAACTGAAACCTACATTTGTCGCTATTTGCCCCACCTATGGGTAAATAGTGACACCCTATGGAACCATTACAAAATACATAATTCTTAAGTCCTAATCGATCTTTCTTTTGACATTTTGATTAGATAAGATAATTTATATTAATTTCTATACTCTCCCATATGTAAATTTTTATTTATTGATAAATAATAGTAGTAACATTATTTGCTAGTATTTCTTATTGAAAATCACATTTATTCTAGATCTTGCCTTGTAACTAATCTTATATTATCCCAAATAAATTAGAAAAATCATATTCAAATATTAAAAAAGCTTTTTGATTTGTCATTTTATTTACCCAACTAAAAATTGTCATTATTTGCCCCAGGAGCTACTTTTTCCTTTAAAACTTTACTGAGAGAAATAAAATTAATATACAAGCATAGGAATTATATCAAAATTCAGGAAAAAGGTACCGTATAACATAGAATAGGTTAAATCTCATTCAACGATTCAGCAATTAAGAAAATATAACTTTAAATATCAAAAAAAGATCCAGGTTTTACCTTATTTCACGAATGCAAAATTTTAAACTTCTCCGCTAGCTATATTTGGCTTTTGATTTTTACTGCTTTTTCAGAAGATGATTAGATGCTTGAGAACTGTTTTTCTATTAACGAGCAGTGATAAAATAAACGCGGAAAAGAGGAGAAATTTAAAGTGACCTATTTGCCCCCCTCTACGCAATATTTCATTAATATAAAATCTCCTTTATTCTAATAGTCAGACGTTTCGGTTATCATAATTTAGCCATCCTCGCTCGGACTTTAACGTGTACGGTTGCTATACGATATCAGTTTTATCTATTTTTTTTAATTTTGACCAAGTTTTATACCTTATTAATTTTACCTATTTATTTATTTATTTACTACTGTTATTAACTTAATTGGTATTCATATGCGAACTGTGTGTTTTATTACGTTCGAGGACGGTTGCTATACGATATCAGTTTTATCTATTCTTTTTAATTTTGACCAAGTTTTATAAGTTTTAATAGTCATTAATTTTACCTATTTATTTATTTATTTATTACTGTTATTAACTCAATTGGTGCTCATATGCGAACTGTGTGTTTTATTACGTTCGAGGACATACAGCTACACCATGCAGCCCTTCAACTGCATGGACAACTATTGGAGGTACTGATAATTGCTTCCTCAGTCACTTGGCGTGAAAGAATGCACTACTAAGAAATTAAGAGCGAAAGTTGAAGTTCATTATTGTTGATTGTAACTGAGGATAAAAATGAGAGCCGAAACGTCTGATTATTAGAATAAAGGAGATTTTATATTAATGAAATATTGCGTACTAATAACTGCGCCGATTTCCATCTAGCCTTAGTTAACTATTGTATTTTTAATTCTGGAAATCTTATTAGGTTTTTATTCTTTATATATATTACATATAATTAATTTCACATTATATTAAATATATGTGTATCGTAAAAAGTCTTCTGCTACATTGATTCGAAAAATATGCCTTCCAACTAATGACACAGTTATGCTTATAACAGAAAATCTTATTTCGATAAAAAGTAGTTTTAAAAAAATGGATTCTTTAATAAAAAATAATTGTAAGATATTAATGTTTTAGCGACGAGTCTCAGGTCAGAAAAGTGGCGGAAAGTGAAATAGCACAATTTTTCTCAGGCCGCAAAGTTCTTATAACGATTGGCTTGGGCTTCCTGGGAAAGCTTCTGATCGAGAAATTACTGCGGTAAGAAATCACCGCACATAGATTATAAATTGATTGAACGAAAAAAAAATTGAAAAACTTTAAATTATCATTACTTTAAAACATTGCATAGATGTTGTCCAAACATCGCGACGCTGTATATATTTGTGAGAGGAAAAGATGGAAAGACTCCCCACGAACGCGTGCAGCAACTTGCCGAGATGTCTGTAAGATTTATTCATTTCTCAATAATAATTGGAGAAAATATTCTATATAAGACAGTAGACGAATATTTTATTACATAAGAATAAGATACAACTTGTTAAAAAAAATAATATCGTTTTATCATTGTGATAATGATTATTTTTATAAATTTAACTTGAAGAAATTGAGGCTCGTATAATCGAATAATTATAAATAGCTCAATAATGCCTTTGCGAGCCGACACGGATGCTGGTGTGTAATAATTTTTATTGTTACAATATCAAGCCACATGCAAACTGTGCGCCGCATACATTGTCTTGAAACACAGTTCTAACATGAGGTCCACTGTAACGAATGAATTGTCAAACAATTTAATATTTTCGATACTAATAAGCATCTATAAGAATCCTCCCCCCCCCCCCTCCAAATCTGTAAAGAATTTATTTTTGCGGCGCACAGTTTGTATGTGACTTGATATTGGAACAGTAAAAATTATTACACACCAACATCCGTGTCAGCTCGCAAAGGCGTTATTTTGAGCTATTTATGATTACTTTTATGTTATATTTATTACATTATCGCTGCATTTATTATTTATACGTTAATTATGAAAAAAGATTGGTATATTTTTCAGTTGTACGAGAAACTGAAGAAGGAGCAGCCTGATTTCCTACAGAAATTGATAGTGATCGAGAGCGATCTGGACACGACGAACCTGGGCTTATCCCAGCAAGATCGAAACAGGCTGCTCGACGCGAACGTTATCTTTCACGGCGCGACGATCGTACGATCTAATCAAAGACTTCGCACCATGACGAACGTCAACGTGCAGGCCACGAAGCAAATATTGTTGCTCGCGAAGGAAATGCGAGATCTCAAGGTAACGGATTTCGTAATAAGGCTAAGAATTTCGTAAGAAATCGTGTCAAGAGGTCGTCACGATAAGTTGCAAAGTGACGCGACACTTTTAGGCTTTCGTTCACCTGTCGACCGTTTTCGCGCACTCGCCAATCCGATCCATCGAAGAGAAACACTATCCCCCGCCGATGGAGACCGACGAATTATTGTCGCTAGTGAATATCCTGAACGACAAAAAGTTGGACGCCATCACACCGACGTGAGTACACTCGACGAAAAAATGCTTACATCTATAATCAGGGTTGGGTAGTAACTAGTTAAGAAGTTAAAAGTTAAATACTAAAGTTAAATAGTTAATAACTTTTTACTTAACTTAGTTAATTTTAAACGAGTTAACTATTAACTAGTTATTTTTAAATATATATAAACTTTAATTTATTAACTTTTTTCTAAGTTCAAAATTAAAAAAAAAAAACATTTTTATATAAAGAAAATATTTCATTATTTCATATAAACTTAATTTACAAATAAAATATTAAATTTATTTTATTTATATTGTAATTTTTTTAATTTAGAGTAATTTTATTTTTAAAAATAACGACATTTTAATTTAATATAAATGTTTTTCAAAATTAACTTTTAATTTAATTTTAGTTAATTTCATCTTAACGCAAGTTTCAACTGGATTAGTTTTCCGTTCATGCAACTTTTATAACTTAACTAATTAATTTTGTAAGTCATTAACTTTGACTTAATTTAATTTTTTTAAAATATTAACTTACCCAACCCTGTCTACAATAATGTAATTAAAACTTAGAATCGCCGATAGTATTCCATCAAAACTGTCCAAAGTGCTAACTTGATTATTTTCTATCCTTGTTTTCGGTTAGTAAAGAATTATTTTGAAATTATTTGCATCATTATAGAATTATTTCTATTACATTTACATATTTTCAATATTCTAAGTAATCTTGTATATAATACAAAAAAAGAAAAAAAAGTTAAATTAAAGGAGCCAAAATAGTACCATCTGCGGTTCCATAAGTGTTAAATAAAAATATATGCGAGGAAGTTTCTTGATGTTATACAGATATAATGAAATCATTGTGATTGAAAAAATCTATATTCTTCTCCAGTATCTCCATCTTTCGATAACATCGATTTATTTTCAAAAAACAATGGCTTATTTTTCTGAAGAAGCGTTCTCCCTCCTGAGTAAAGCATGTAGCTCCTGTAGCATCTCGCTCTCGAAAGGATGTACCTTAGGAAAGAAATACTTCGCCGATAATATCCCATCAAAACTGCCCAAGGCGCTAATTTGATTATTTTCTATCCTTATTTTCGGTTAGTAAAGAATTATTTTGAAATTATTTGCATCATTATAGAATTATTTCTATTACATTCATATATTTTCAATATTCTAAGTAATCTTGTATATAATACAAAAAAAGAAAAAGTTAAATTAGAGGAGCCAAAATAGTACCATCTGCGGTTCCATAAGTGTTAAATAAAAATATATGCGAGGAAGTTTCTTGACGTTATACGGATATAATGAAATCATTGTGATTGAAAAAATCTATATTCTTCTCCAGTATCTCCATCTTTCGATAACATCGATTTATTTTCAAAAAACAATGGCTTATTTTTCTGAAGAAGCGTTCTCCCTCCTGAGTAAAGCCTGTAGCATCTCGCTCTCGAAAGGATGTACCTTAGGAAAGAAATACTTCGCCGATAATATTCCATCAAAACTGCCCAAGGCGCTAATTTGATTATTTTCTATCCTTATTTTCGGTTAGTAAAGAATTATTTTGAAATTATTTGCATCATTATAGAATTATTTCTATTACATTCATATATTTTTTATATTCTAAGTAATCTTGTATATAATAAAAAAAAAAGAAAAGTTAAATTAGA